CCTACGTCTCTGGGCTGTTCTGCCTCTGGTTCCTGGCTCTCCAGGCAGTGTCAGGGGTGGCTCCCTCTCGTGGCATGGGTCTCAAGCTGGACCAGTCACTGATTAACTATTCCCATAATTTCTGCTCCATCTTTACCCTTGTACATCTTGTAGGCAGGAAAGCTTGTAGGTCTTAGGTTTTGTAGCTGGGTTGGTCCCAGTCTTGCCTGGTTACAGAAGATGACTCCCAGACTCTGTGTCTCCCATTGCTAGGAGTATTAACTAGGGTCACCCTCATAGATTCCTATGAGTTTTCATTACACTATGCTTCTAGCTCATCCCAGAGATGCCCACCCCCATTCCAGTTTGCCCAGCCCCATTCCAGTTGTCTCCCCCAGCATGCTCTTCCTCCATCCTTTCCTAATCTGATCCTCCCTGTTCCTATTCCCACCCCTCCATCGAGACCTCCCCCCACCCCATCCCCGTCCACCTGACACATCTATTCTATTTTCCTGTCATACTGAAGTTCATGCACACATATCCCACCCAGCCCTCTCTGTTAGTCAGCTTCTCTGAGTCTATGGATTGTAGCATGATTATCCTTTACTTCACAGTTAATGTCTCCCTTATATGTGAGTACATATCATGTTTGCATGTTTGTCTTTCTGGGGCTGAGTTGTCTCACTTAGGATGATTTTTCTTTCTAGTTCCATCAATTTATCTGCAAATTTCATTTATCTGCAAATTTCATGATGTTGGTTTTTTCTTCTCTCTCTCCCTCTCCCTCTCTCCCTCTCTCTCTCTCTCTTTCTTTCTTTCCTTTTTTTTTACAAGCTAAGTAATGCTCCATTGTATAAATGTAGCACATTTTCTTTATCCATTCTTTGATTGAAGGACATCTAGGTTGTTTCCAGTTTTAAGATACTGCAAATAAATCTGCTATGAACATGGTCGAGCAAGTGTCTTGTTATGGTATGATGGAGTGTCCTTTGGGTATATATCTAGGAGTGGTATAGCTGGGACTTGAGGTAGATTGATTCTCAATTTTCTGAGGCTGTACATATTTATTCTCACTCTACAATGGTACAGTGTTCCTCTTGCTTCACATTCTCACCAGTGGACTATTCCTTACCAGCATAAGCTGTCACATGTCTTATTGGTCTTAGTCATTCTGATGGGTGTAAGTTTTGATTTGCATTCTGATGGCTATGGATGTAGAAATTTTTCTTTAAGTGTTTATCAGCCATTTGAGATCCCTCTATTGAGAATTCTCGGTTTAGATCTGTATCCCATTTTTAATTGGATTATTTGATTTGTGATGTCTGGTTTCTTATGTTCTTCATATATTTGGGGTATTACCTCTCTATCATATGTAGAGTTGGTGAAAATCTTTTCCCATTCTGTGGGGTGCCAATTTGTCCTATTGACAGCATCCTTTGCCTTATAAAAGCTTTACAGTTTCATGAGGACCCATTTATTAATTGTTAATCTTACTACCTGTGTTATTGTTCTGTTCAGAAAGTCATCACCTATGCCAGTGTATTCCAGGCTATTCCCCAGTTTTTCTCATATCAGGTTCAGTACATGGTTTTATGTTGAGGCTTTGATCCTTGTACCTGAGTTGTGTGCAGTGTGATAGATATGAATCTATTTGCATTCTTCTACATGCTGACATCCAATCAGATCAGCACCATTTGTTGAAGATGCTTTCTTTTTTTCCATTATTTAATTGTATAATCTTGACTTCTTTGTCAAAAATCAGGTGTTCATAGATGTATGGATTTATGTCTGTGTCTTTGATTCTATTCTATTGATCAACCTGTCTTTTTATGCCAATACCATGTGTTTTTTATTTCTATAGCTCTGTAGTAGAGCTTCAAATCAGGGATGGTCATACCTCTGCAAATTCTTTTATTGTACAAGATTGTTCCAGCTATCCTGAATTCTTTTCTATGTGAAGCTGTATATTGCTCTTTAAAGGTCTGTAAAAACTGTGTTGGTGTTTTGATGAGAATTGCATTCAATCTGTAGACTGCTTTTGATATGATGGCCATTTTCACTATGTTAATCCTATGGATCTGTGAACATGGGGGATCTGTCCATCTTCTGATGTCTTATTCAATTTCTTTCTTCAAAGACTTGAAGTTCTTATCATATAGGTCTTTCACTTGTTTTGTTAAGAGTTACACCAAAATATTTTATATTATTTGTGGCTACTGTAAAGGGTGTTGTTTCCCTGATTTCTTTCTCAGCCCATTTATCATTTGTATAAAGGGGGGCTACTGATTTTTTTTTTTAGTTACTCTTGCATGCAGCCACTTCACTGAAGGCGTTTGCCAGATATAGGAGTTCCCTGGTAGAACTTTTGGGGTTGCTTATGTATACTATCATATCATCTGCAAATAGCAATACTTTGATTTCCTCCTTTCCAGTTTGTATTCCCTTGATTTTCTTTAAGTTGTCTTACTATTCTGGCTAGAACTTCAACTACTATATTGAATGAATTCTACTCCTCACTTTTAAGAAAACTATAGGAATCGTGACTTAAGGTCACTGGGGTGGACAGCAATGATTGTGTCAGGCTAAGCAACCAATCAGAATTCCTGTGACTGGGAAGAGTGTCACAAATCAGAGGAGTCTTAGCCTCTTCAGCAGCCACTCTTTGTCCACCTCCATGTCTGAACTAACAAACAAAGCATCCCTACAACCATGAGGTAGAGGACACACCACAGATCCCTAGCTTCCCCAGTCCCAAAGCTAAGGATGCCCCCAGGTAACACCTAACCTACAGCAGATGTGCCCCTGATGGGCTGGGACTATAGCAGAGGTGTTCCTGATTGGCTGGGACTGGCTTACATGCTGTTTTCACCAACGTATTTGGGAAGTGTCATGACTTATAATTCTCTTCAGATCATGGAGTTTGGGATAACATGAATCTGTATTCGTCTATTGTGATCATTCATATTTGACTTCAGGATAGACTTGTGTTTATGCAATAACAGAAATGATTATTTTGAACATGAAAAATGTCATCAACGCATACACTGAATGTCCATCACACCATACACACACACACACACATGCACACAAACACGTGTGCATGCACACACAC